CGCGCAGTAAAATATCAACAAACAAATGTTCACTATATCATCTACATAGACACAGCAAATATTACCAATATTTCTCAATGAATCAAACTCAAAGTTTTTACATTAACCTAGAAAATTTTAATTACACACACAAATTATTGTTCAGAGCAATAAACAAATCGTATATCAACCCAGATAGTTTGTAGTAATTCGAAGAAATTAACTATTTTTCTCAATAAAACAATCAGCCGCAAAATAGCCTATTACCACTGTAGGCAGAAATTATTATTTTCTATCAATAATCGTACATCAAACCTTGAAATTGAACAATTTATACAGAGAAATAGTTTCGAAAATTTTGGAACAATTATTTATATCTAAAGCTAAATTAAACAGACATTAATTTTTTTTTATTGAGAAAATGTATCAACCTAGAAAGCAGTCCATTGAAAGCCAATAACCTTATTTGGTATATTTTTCAATAATTAATCTTTCCATTTTAATTTTTGTTTTCAATATATTAATTAACCTAAATAGCTACTATTATTAAGCTCCAATTCCTTTGATGATGGAATAAAACAAATACTACAACGCGTACTTCTATCATGAAACTGACCACAAAATTAAAATGTTATCAAACTAATACTAATTGCATTATACTATGTATTATTGCATTATTACTATGTATTATGTAATAACATTACATAGTATATTATTACAAAAAGTATACAAAAACATGAAAATGTTCAAAATTCTGATTCTTGAACATTTTGGTTGCTTATGGGAAATTAGAAAATGCGACAAGAGGAAGGTTTTGCCAGAGCCGGCCACATATTATTACGGTGTACTGATTGTTAGGAGCATAGGGCTTGTTAGTGAAAAATTTGGATTTGTTTGTTTTTTTTGTTTTTTTTCTGCAGGTTTCTACATTGGTTGATACAGGATTTTTATGGGGGTTTTTCCCCTTCATCCTTTCTCTGCCATTTTGCAGCTTGCAAAAATTTTGGCATTATGCAATATATTATCTTATTTCAAGTCATTTTTTACCTAAAATTAGAACACTTTTTTCTAGTCTGTGCATAATCCTGATCTGATATCCTAATCTGTACTAATCCTCACAGATAATGTCGACCTAGTTTGATAAGAATTTGTCAAATTATTAAAGGAGGTTAGACGGTTACTGATTACTGCTCTTCTCACCCTTAACCCCATTTAAGAGTATGATGTTCAAGAGATGTGTTCTGAATTTCGAGAAAAAAAAAAACAAGGCTTCGGGGACGCATCACGGTTGAAGTAGAAATGCGAACCAATTCACCAAAATCACCGCACATCCTTTCTCTATCTTAAAATTTTGGTTATAAATACAGAAAATAAAGATGGGGACATATTAAATTACTTAATAATAAATTTATACAGATTTTGGCAAATTATTTACTGTTTTCATAATGTATGTAAAAAGTATGTAAAAACAAAATTTATGATTGATACAACATACAGTAATTAATTCCTTGTGTTGAAGGTAATGTGTTAATAAAATTTATTAGAACTCGTCACAGGGTAGGCAGGACAACCATCCTAACAGGTCCTTGCATAGGCGAGACTTTTTTTTATACCTTGTTTCGTATAAAAATAAAGAAATTTTTTTTTCTTAAATTTCTATTTTTTGTGGTGGCAAATGCGCTAATTGGCGAAAAATAAAATATTTTATTTAAAAATCATCATTATTGGTAGACGGTAGGTTCGCTAAACTAGGTATAAAGAATGTCTCACTTTACTACTTGCCTACAATCTGTTTACCGCCTTGCCTGAAACCTGCTTACCGCATTGCCTACAATCTGCTTTTCTCCTTGCATACCCCATCCACACCCCTTGCATTCATATACAGTACCCATCCCATTTAACAAGTCGATAGTCTAACTAGTTTGGCTACTCTTTACACATCCCTTGCCTACTTTTGCCTTCCCATCTGCTGTAGCATGTGCTAAAGTCCTGCCTGTACTATGTGAAAATGTGTCAAACCATGTACAAGGTATCATATAGCTAGTATTGTGCAGAAAAACTTAATATGAAGTAATATGCAGAAATATATTACCTCTGCCAAAGGAAGTCAATGAATTCACTGCTGTCTGTCTGTCTGTGTCTGTTAGCAAGATTACGCAAAAAACTAATGAATGGATCATCATAAAATTTAGTGGAATGGTACATAATATTCGAAGGAAGAGATGATTAAATTGTGGGAAGAAAAGGTCAGAGCGAAGGTAACACTCTATGGTGTACGGTAACTGCTCTAGTTTTTACTGTATTGTTCCACCACAGTTTGCTGTAATTAAAATTAAAAAAATAAAATTTGGAGAAGACACATCCAGATTAGAGTAATTATGAAGTGTTGATAAATAAATATCAAAATGGTTTAAGTATTTAACTGTGTGTAGTAAACTAAGTCAAAGACCTGTCTATGTTTTCTGTCGTATAATTGTGTTCCATGATTAAGTGCTAGAACTGGAGAAGACAGCCAATTACACCATTTAATTTACCCCACTCAGTTTTGTCGATAATTTTTTTACCCTACAGGGACATTAGGCTACTGACGTGAGGAACACACATTACCACAATTAAATTACAATAATGACGCATGCGAAAAAAATAAATACTAACAACTTTTATCAGCTATTCAATTGCCTAGTAATTAGAATCAACGTGTTACTGCGGCTAGAATCTGTAAATGGTAATTTCTGATGTTCTAGGAGATATGGCTTGATTATATTAGTCTTTTCTTATAATTAGAACACGGGATTACTGCAAAAAAAGTGACCCAAATTCTATTTTTTGTTGTAAATTTATTGTAAAATTCTCAAAAGTTCATGTTTTGAACACAAATGACCACAGCACACATCGATAATTCGAAATGACAACGAAACGAAAAACAGCAACACCGCACAAACATGCATAAAATTCAAGTTTTTTATCAACAGCACAGCGATTTCGAGGGGAAGGAGATGGAAACAGCGTACGGCCACCTGGTTGGTGAAATCAGGACATTAGTGGCAATATGCAAACTCATTGTTCCAGATATTCAATTATAAAAAACAATGATGTTCTAACTGTGACCTAATTGTTTATACCGAGAGCACATTTCAAACAATTCAATGTGTTGCCATGTTTTTCTTCAATGCATATTGTTTATAGTGCGAAGTGCATGTATGTGTGCTTTTATTATGTGACTGGCTATGGTAGGTAGATAAAACTGTTTCAGGTTTTTAGACGGGAATTCCATTCATGTCATAAAAATAATTTATAATTTATACAAAAAACAAGAAACCTAGTATTTTTCTCCTGAAATTTATGGCATGTGAAGTGGCAAAATTGAATGCAACTTTAAGAAGGATTTGTAATAAAATACAATTTGTAACATAAAATAAACTACTTTTACAGTACTTATACTTAAATGTACTATTGGCTAACAGCTTTGGTCCCAGTTAATATATTATTGATTCCCAGAATGTTATTGTCTGCATAAGAATGGGATAATTTAGTAGCCTAAGACTTAGTTATGAAAATTTGTTAAAATCAAGTAGAAATTCGAAAGATATGGAAAAAAAAAGAAAAAGGAAGTGGTAAAGAAAGAGAACAGTTAGAATAAAAAATGTGAAAAGGAAAGACAAGGGAAATGAAAGGCAAGAAAAGGAAAAGAAGGAACAAGAATGGAAAATGTATTAGAAAGGAAAAGTACTGGTCGTACAGAGTTGCTTTTTGCAGCAAAATGTTTAAAACATGCATATTTATATTTACTATAATGGACAATTTTCTCTAGAAATGACAGGAAATTGCGTTTTTGACCTTTGACCTCAACTTTGCGTGATTATAATATCTTGACAACCACTGGTCGTATAGAGTTGCTTTTTTTAAACAAAATATTTACAATATGCACATTTATACCTGTCTCTTATACACATCTAGATGTGTATAAGAGACAGTGCATATTGTTTATAGTGCGAAGTGCATGTATGTGTGCTTTTGGTAGGTAGATAAAACTGTTTCAGGTTTTTAGACGGGAATTCCATTCATGTCATAAAAATAATTTATAATTTATACAAAAAACAAGAAACCTAGTATTTTTCTCCTGAAATTTATGGCATGTGAAGTGGCAAAATTGAATGCAACTTTAAGAAGGATTTGTAATAAAATACAATTTGTAACATAAAATAAACTACTTTTACAGTACTTATACTTAAATGTACTATTGGCTAACAGCTTTGGTCCCAGTTAATATATTATTGATTCCCAGAATGTTATTGTCTGCATAAGAATGGGATAATTTAGTAGCCTAAGACTTAGTTATGAAAATTTGTTAAAATCAAGTAGAAATTCGAAAGATATGGAAAAAAAAAGAAAAAGGAAGTGGTAAAGAAAGAGAACAGTTAGAATAAAAAATGTGAAAAGGAAAGACAAGGGAAATGAAAGGCAAGAAAAGGAAAAAAAGGAACAAGAATGGAAAATGTATTAGAAAGGAAAAGAAAGGAATTAAAAAAATAGGGAGATAAAAGGAAAAGTAAAGAGAGAAAAGGTAAAGACAGAAATTACAGGGAAGAAAAGGAAAAGATAGACAGGAAATAGGAATTAAAGAAAAGAAAATGGAAAAAAGGTAAAGTAAGGTAAGGTCAAGAAAGGAAATATTAAAATTTACAATAAAATAGATTTAAGAAACTTACGTACAGTAATATTTACAAGTGAAATGGTTGTGCAATTAGGTGAATCATAATTTATCTCACTTCCGGCTATAAAAGCGCATTTTACATTATCCACTATAAAAGTTCATAATTATTATTTATATTATATTTGCTAATTATTTATTTATTTATTTTATTCATTCATATTAAACTTTAAAAAATTGTACTGTAAAATGCAATTGAACAAGAATACCATATTCATGAATTTAGCAATTTAGGTCAAAATTCCTATTTATATTGATCTGTCATTTGTCATTAACGGTGAATGATAAAGTAACGTAGTAAATGACATACCATAGGCCCGCCAACACATGTTCTTATGGTCACCAAGTGAGACTGTCATACCCAGATAAACTATTGTCATGAAAAACATGTTGTTTTTTAATAGAAAATTACAGATTAATATTTCCTATCAATTTCCATCTAACATACTGTGGGAATTTTTTAAGTAAACAAAACATTATGACAAAAATGGTTTTAATATATTTAGGTATCCTATCGTTAGAGGGAAAAAATATGAGAATTTGGATGATTATGGTAAGTATAGACTTTATTTTATACATAACATAATATGATGTACAATATAGTTAAATATTACAAAACATTGAATTTTTTTTAGGCAGAATTTTTGTTTAGCGAACCCACCACCAATAATGATAAGCTAAAACATTTTCATCTGGTTTATGTGACATATGAACATAGACAAAATAATGATGATGATTTAGAATAAAAATTAAATTTATTTTTGGCCAATGAGTGCACCAACCGCCATGAAAAAATGGAAAGGTTTACTGAACGGCTGGGCGTCCGGTCGAGGAAGGGTATCCACGCCTGCTCCGCTTCGCGCGGGTTTACTGTCACATAGCAATAAGGCAGTTGGTATGAACAAATACTGAGTAAACACAGATTGACAAGTGAAATGGTTGCTGCCTAAGCACTTTGTTTCTTTCACTGAATTGCTCACTGAAAACTTTTAGGATCAACAACACAACACTAAAAACTGGTGAAATCCTTGCATGCTCATAATAACACAATGGCTTAACTTCAACTGCCTAGAACACACAGCCAGTCATGCTTTCATAGTATTCATGGAGGGGTCTATTGATCACTTGTTACTCAGGCATGTAGACATTACATAATCACCAATAGCCTACACAAAGTCAATGTTATATTACATACAATGACAACTGCAACTAGTAACATCTCAGCAGAAAAAATGATATCTATATTTTTTATTACACCCACCGCTGCCTTGAAATCTCTAAAAATAAGACATGTATATTTCTTCCTAATTATATAAATTTAATGCAGTTAACCAACCCATTACTACACTCTTTAGATTTACCAATATATGTTTATTTTTATTTTCTCCTCCGTCTGGATGTTTTTGACAAAACTATTTGGTAAATAAGAAAACAAAATTCTTTTTATTTTTTCCCACCCTCCTCGGACGGTCTTTAAAAATATAAGTTTGTAAAACAAGGTATAAAAAAAACGTCTCTCCTTGGCATTGATTCTAGAACTAGTAAAAAACTTTTCACTGAACTTGTATGAGAGAATCAATAAAAGTATTTAAATATCTCCTAAATAATGATTTATGAAATTAGTCCAATATGAACTCACTTGCATATTGATGAGATATGATGTAAAGTGAGTACGCTTTCTTGAATTAATTCATACTAAATTCTGATTTCAAACCTTAAACAATCTTGAATTAAATTACTCTATGTTATGTGTACTACATATTCAGTGTTTCTCGTGTGAACATGATAGTGATTTACTCTAGATTGTCTAAATTGAGCAGCTTTTTGCGACTGTAGTGCGCCTGTTACACCAGTGGCCTTGTTTGCACGCTACCCATACAATTTTAATGGGGGAAAGCGACTAACAAATTTTATCGAATACATACTAAACACATAAGCCCCTAATGTTTGATTTAATCAAGAAATCTAGGAAAGTATTGTTAAATCTCGCAAAGCCCAGCGCAGCAGTAAAACAACGTAAATCAGCTGAAAACTCGGGAATTTTAGAAGAGAGAGATCAAGTATAGACAATACTGACGGGGCTGTCATTCAAAATTGATGAAGATCGTAAAGATGTTGCTATGAACCCGGTGAAAAGTGGGGACAAAACAATCAATTGTGACGAGTGTACTGTTTTTAGTGGAACCATCTAAGTAGGGAATTTAACATGCTATTTTTTTGCATATATTGTGCAATAAATTCTGGGCTTTATTAGGTCATTGTATGGTGACGGTTTTAAACTGGAGAAAGCAGAAGTATAAACAACAGACATTAATTTTAACTTGCCCATCATCAGGTTTCACTTATAAATATAAGTATCAATCATATTATTAGCAAACATTTAAATTACATTAAAATTATAATCCTTAAAAAAATAATTTATTTATATCAAGAGAAATAACATTTACAAATGATGGTTGCCCTATCTAACGTGTGATGTACTGAATGCAAATTACAATGTCAACAGATGAAATATACAATAAAATACAGTGAGTGAAAAGTCTTTGAATGCCTAGTTTATAAAAGCTGGTAATATGTCCAGTGAGGTCCAGTACATAAATCATTATAAATACCAATCACTTAATCAATCGGCTGACAAACAAATAGAATGAAGATAGATCTGAACCAAGATTTTTACGGTTCAACTGACAACCACAATACAAAATGAGCATTCCCCCAGTCCCAATGTGGGCTACTTTGGGGTCGAGTCATCTGAAAATGTCCGAGAAGTGGAGCAAAATTAAAATTGTTTTATGGTGAAGAGAAGCAAGGTTGAACATGGCCATAAAAATACTTGTAGTTGAAATGAAGAAACTTGAATTTAAGACAATTGACAGCCATAAAAGTTAATTTTTAGGACATTTTTTGGATGCTAACATCTGCCACACATGCACAGTGTGCCAGATATGTAAGTAAATAATAAAATAAAATATTGTTCTTCATATATGGCAAAGACAAACAAAAACCAGTCACTCGTCACAAAAATCAATATAGATTTTTAGTTATTAATACAGGATTAAAGATGAAAAAGAAAACTATAAAATGGTACAAGAATCATTTAAATCTGACACTTCCTTGGGAAATTATAAGTGTTTAAACATACAGGTGTATGTCTGTCAGATGTTTGTAAATAATAAAATCAAATATTATCCTTCATAGACTTTATAAATGGCATGCAAAAGGCAAGCTTAAAATAGTCCGGTATTTAAGAGTCATGTATAAAATGTTAAAACATTATTATTATTTTTTATTATTATTATATAGAGCAAGTCAAACAAAAGGTGAGCTTCGAAGACTTGTATAAAGAGCGCTATATAAGTGCTAAAATATTGTAAATTTTGTATTATTACTATATAGATCAAATCAACAAAAACTAGGCTATGATACACAGCATAGTACATTCACCTCTATTACTATCAACAAAATTCAATAGACTATACCTATAGATATAATAGGTATTCCGTCACAGTGAAAATTAACTCATCTAAAAGTGAAACGAACAATGCACTATGTGTTGAATACTATACATGGCATAGTGCAATGTTCATTACAAAATATTAATACCAGATATTCTTTCTTGGAAATGAATAGTTAGACCGCATATGTTACCCTAGATGCGTGATCCATGGGTACCAAATACCCCATGAATATTTATGTTTTCTGTGTAAAACAGTTAACATACTGAAACAGATGTCTGTACATGCTAAACGGAAGTCAGACATTGTCTAATTCGGTGTTGGCAAGGAACGAAAAAAAAAATCAAAGTTAATAATAGTATTAGGCAATTAGCCATAAAATTGTTTATGATGAATAACAAAAACAAATGAATTAAAAATTCTCATATTTTGTATTCTGATTTAAGCTAAAATGCTAATTAGTCATCAATAAAGGCCAATGTATAGGCCTAGTGCAGTATGAGACACACCAGCTGAGAAAAGCACAGGTGCTTCAGTGATGTCATAATCCAGTTTTGAAATTATTTTTTAGATGAATATTTTTGCTCACACCTTAATTATGATACAATTGTTTAAATTGTTTGATTTTGTGGTAAAATGAATATTGTGATTATTGTATTAAAATGTCATTTTACTAATTTTTTTTTATAAACTATTATTAATTAAAATATTTATCACCTTTAAAATAGAAACATCCTGTAGTATATACTTTCTGATTGACTCTTATGTATTATATTTATAAATGCAAATTCTGATATATAAAATATAGGTGTATAGGTATTATATTAGAGGATTTACTTTAAGATTTAAATTTGTGTGATGCACCCATATATTGAATGGTGATATCATACAGTATTACACCCAAATATGGGCATATCACATTTTTGTTCACATAAAATGTGATAGTGGGACAGAGCTAATGTTATGAAAGGTATATACACTCAAGCTTAAAAAGCTTGTTGGATATAATGGCTTTTAGCACACATTTTAAAACATGTTATTTTAAATGAATGATTAATGACATTAATAAATGAGTATAACAATGAATTGTTAATTACATTGATAGAAAGAATAAATAGAAATAATCTTCCCTCTATATTTATTCACTAATTAAATCATGAGTGAATAAATGAATAGAAGATAACAGACCTAGGCCTACTTGTGATAAAATCACAATATTTGGGGCCAGCACCAATAGTAGAACACACAATCAACTTCTAAAGTGATTTGGATTAGTTTAATTGTGTTCCAACCAACATTATTTAATTATGTGCCTCATCTCAGTAGAAACAATAAAGAAGTCATGCATTTTCCTTTACGGAGTGTCAATCGCTATGATTCAATTTTGCACCAACTACACGTCACATGACTCACGTCACATGACTACACGTCACATGACTCACGTCCAAAATTGTGTTATGTCTTTTCTTGTCAAATGTAAATATATTGAACTTCTAAGAAGACCAATATTCGACCTCTGTTCTTCTAGATTACCCAGCATTTTTATTGTACCTTTATATTCATTTAATTTTGGTAAAATAAATAAACTTGAAACTTGAAATAGTGTCTACTGAAAAGGGTTCATGGACAAACATCAAATCTTAAAATTAAATATTTGATTGATTCACTTGATGTATTAAAAGGATTATCACCTTCATGTAAGCAAATGTTTATAATAATCCATTCTACATTTATCAAGTGAAAGTAATTTGCTTCCATTCCTACGAAATGATTTTCTTCACAAAATTTAAAATAGGATTTAAGGTATCTGTTTTGTGTCATCAGAGAGTGGGGTTACGTTGGTGGTGATCTTAAAGTGAAATGTCGTTAACAAGTGTTGGAGCCTTCAGCCAAGTTTGTTACGTGGTCTCCAAGA